ATATATATATATATATATATATATACACACACACACACACACACACACACACACACACACACACACACACACACAAACAAACTTTTAAAATCAATTCCTCAATGTCAATGCATTTGCAAAACATGCTGCATGCACATTAATCCAAGGTGTTTTCAGTCACCAAAACAGGGTTTGGCAGAAGTATTTTGTTGGGTGAATTGGTCAATTCAGGAAAGAGCAGAGGTGATTTTTGGTGTCAGTTGGGATGTAATCAGCCAATGAAATAATTCCGGGAGGCAGGCCATGACTGGACAATACAACCTAGCTACCACCTCTTCGGATTCACTATAGTGATGAGAAAAAATCCTCTATCACTGTGTAAGTATCTAGAGGACTAGAATCCCCATCTGCAGGGCTCCAGGTGACTGATGCTTACACTCTACCACTCGGTAGCCATGGCAGAACCACAATACATGCTCTATAAACCCAGGGTGGGGGGACTAAATGCCATAGGATGTGCCACCTACTGAAGACTTAATTAGTAGCACCCCTCACTCTAGATTGGTCCACGTGCACTATTTAAGCATGGAGGGAGTTCCAGGAAGCTGTCTGTGCAACCCAGCAGTACCTGGCCCATTGCTATCCTAATCTCATTCCCTGCTTTGGACTCCAGCTCTGATTCATGGCTTGACACTTTACTCTGGCTCTGATCCTTGGCTTGACTCCTGATTCCTGCTTATAGCTCTGATCCCCGACACCTGACTCCTAGTTCCTGACTGAGCCCTAGCTTGGCTCCCCGTTCCAACTCTTGCTCCAACCACCAGGGCCTACTCCTGCTCTGACCACTAGGCATGATGCCTGGTCCTACCCACAAGACCAGAGCACTCATGTCCTGGTTGTGACACACCATAGCACGTGTCTACCCTACATATCAGGCAAAAGTGCACAGGGCCGAAGAGACTCATTCAAATAGTCCCACTCTCACGCAAACAGACCACACAATTTAAAGACCTATACATTTGAGTGGAAAGGTTTCTATGGCCCTAACAAAGAGCACAATAATGCAACCCTTACTCTCCTACATAGTTTCATTAAAATGAACAGGACTACTAATGTGAGCAAGGGCTGCAGGACCAGAACCATTAATAGGCAAAGTTTATTTTGCCCCAAAGCAGACGGCTCTTATGCAGTCTTCAGTAGCATTGTATACATAGGCGTTAAAGCCTCTGTTATGAAGTCTTCGAAAAATTGTATCACCCAAATGCCATTTTACAATATGCATATTGACACCTTCCATTTAAAAAAAAATCATACTTCTGTCTGGAAATTCTTAATGTGCTATTGTAACAAGTAACACCCAAGATTATTATAACTGAAAGAAATTAGAAAAGAAACATGATTTCTCTCTTTTTTCCATTTATTTAATCCATTTGACAGCACCTAGTATACAATTAATTATTTTCTATGTACAGTCAGTTTCCACTTCTGGAAGTGGCCTTCAAAGCATGGTATTATATTAAATAAATATTTGATTGAATTTTAAAATCATTAAACTGTAGACCTCACTGAAACTACAAGGCTCTTAAAAGAAAATTATATATGATATAATATTTCTATTAAGTAGAGAAAAGAACAAAGGAAAATTTTATTATATGGAAAAATAGAATACAATAAATGTTCTTGTAGTTTGCATGAACAGGTACCTACTCTTCTCATATTGCAAATGCCTAATAGTTTTTTAATAGAACTTGAAGAGGAACAACACATGTAGGATAAAACCATAAAAATAAAAATGGCAAAGGATCTTAAATAATTACCCTTAAAAAGGTACTTTGAATGGCTTTAATTACTTTCTCCCTGAAAGCCTGTAGCTGATGAAGTGCTTCTTTGTTCTGTTGATATTGCTCCTCACAAAACTCATCCAAAGAATACGTGCGAGATCTGTCCACCTAAATGAATGAATGGAAAAAATACCATGAGTCGTGAAAGAAAACCTAGCAGTTAGACATCAGCTCATGTGTCACCCCAACCCATCCTCCTAGACAGTATTAGCATACAGGCACTAGGCCCCAAAATGCAAAGTGAACACAAGAGGAAGGACAACTGTCAGAGTGCAAGCCTTCAAGTGGAAGAATAGTTTGAGATGACAGAAAAGTGCAATATAGGCAGGGGAAGAGCTACATAAAGCCTGGAAGGTGAGGATAATTAATTTAATTTCAGTGCAGGAAGATGAGGACAAATGAGTTTAATTTTAATGCAGGTCATGCAGAACCTGTGAAGAAATTTAAATAGGGAGTATGTCTGTGTGCGAGACAGAAACATATGGTGGTTAGAGCAGTGGAAGAGAAAAAGAGAGGTTACTTACCTTATAGTAATTGATGTTGTTCAAGATGCACTGTCTATACGTATTGCACTTATAGCATTGCACACCCTCTAGCGCCAGAGGTCAGATTTTTTTCCTGCTAGCAGTCTCTTACGGTCCACACATGCTCACAGAATGCACCCATCCTGCTTCCACCTTCCCAGAGGGCATAAAGGGTCAGGGCAGACCAACTGCCACTCAGATCCTTCACCAGCCAAAATCTTGTAAGGACTTTGAATTGTGGGGAAGGAGGGCAGGTCATGGAATACATATAGACAACTCATCAGTTACTGTAAATGAGTAACCTCATTTGTCTATATGTCTCCCACTTATGGAGATTGAAAAGCAGTTAACAAATGGAGGTGCGTATCAAAGTTTTACATAAAGATAGATCTAAGCACTTCTTTATCAAAGGCTGTATCTTCTCTAGTTGCCTGTTCAACTGCATGCTCATGAAAGTATGGACAGATGCCCATGTTCCTTACAAATTTCTAAAACAGAGACATTATTAATAAGCTACGGAAGCACCTTGGGCTCTTGTAAAATGGGTCCTAACTGCCAACAGGGCATCCCAACTTGCAAATTGATAGCACAATTTAATACATCTTGAAATCCAATTTGAAAGTATCTTTAACTCTTTTAGTGCCACAAATAATTAAAGAAAGCCTAAAAGATTTAGTTCTGTTCAGATAAAAGGCTAAAGTTGGGACTCTAACTAGAGTCCTTTCTACTCTATTAGTGTGAGGTTTTGGACAAAATATTGGTAAGTTAATTGACTGGTTAACATGAAACTCATTCACAATCTTAGGCAAGAAACTTGGATAAGCCCTTAATAAAACCTTATCCCTCTGAAAAATCATATAGGCATGACCAGACCTCTACATTTTCACCCACTCTTTGTGCAGAAGTAATCACTACTAAAAATACTGTTTTCATGGACAGAAGATTTAATGGACAAGTAGCTAAAGGTTCAAACAGGGTTTTCATTAAACTAGACAACACAACGTTCAGAATTTATGGAGCATACAGATCCTTTATAGCTGGAAATGCTTAAGAAATCTTTGAGAAGTAGGATAAGAAAATATATTAAAACCATCATTCTTAGGATGATAGGCAAATACTGAAGCTAGGTGCACTTTAATGGAACTAATAAAAAATGCAGACGATTTTAAGGACAGAAGGTAATCTAAAATGGAAGGTATATCAAACTGAAAAGGTGAAATATTAAGACTCTGGAGGCAATCATCCAAGCTTTTCCAAGTTGCTCAAGTGGAAAGCTTCTACTATTCATTAAAATGCCCTGAACTGCTTGAGAACAGAATTTCTAAGACTCATTCAAGAAGCTAGCTTCCAGGCTGTCAGATGTAGGGATGACACTTTCAGGTAAAGAATTGTCCAATTATTCTCTGATATCAAGTTGGGAACCAGAAGAGGGGCAATCTGTGATGGTATCAACCATCCAGAAGCCAGTATGGTGGGACATGCTGATGCGATGAGACTCATGGAAGCTGAGTCTTGCTTGAGCTTCACTAAAGTTCTTGGAATCAGTGGAATTGGAGGGTAAGCAACATCTCCAACACTTTTTGGCCTGAATCAGGTGAAAGATTATACAGACCAGATGAACTGTTCAAAGTTCCAACACCATAAGTATGTAGAAGAGTCTCTTTCTGAGGCCACAATGCTCGAGTCTGATGACGTTTGGATGTAAGCATCCCAACACAGTTTGGAGGTATCCATTAGAGTTGGTTGAGGAAGCACAAATGGAAGGCCTTTGCAAGCCTGAGAAGGATCTAACCACTAATGAAGGAACATCAGAACTTACTGGGGAACTGTAAAGACAGAATGTACAATGTTAAGGATAAGTGCTATGAGGACGGTTTTGGGATGATTGACCATGAACAAGAACTCACAGAAAAAAGACTCTTCAACTGATGGATTCCACTAGAGCACCTGGGGTATTAACCTTCTGGGATCAAGACTAGAATGATTGATAAGAAGGACTTTATGCTAGAAGATATGGGGAGAAGGTTGGGAGAAACTTGTGAAATCTCTACACCTGGCTTCAATCCACAGTAGGAAGAAAATCAACTAGATGAAGATGCAGTAAGGGATAATGGAACACCACAAGGTAAGAGTATGAAAAGGAAGGAGAAAAAAATGGAAATGTTGTTTAGAGTAGTATTCAGGCAGGTGTTACACTTGGTGAAAGGACTATATCCAGTCTAGCTAGAAAACTGGGTGAAGTTCAAGGGAAACAACTGAAATGCATCTACATGAATGCAAGGAGTCTGGGCAGTAAAATAGAGGAAATGGAACAATTGGTGCAGAAGGTCAAACCAGATTCTAGGGATTACAGAAACATGGTGGAATAGCATTCATGACTGACATACTGGTTTTAAAAGAAATGTGTGTTTAGGAGAGAGAGGAATAAGGTGATGAAATAGCACTGTACATCAATGAAGCGGTAACTGTAATGAAATATGAAGTGACGGTATGAATAAAACAATCTGTCTGGGTCAAAATCGCCTTGGGAAAGAATTGTAAAAGAGGGTCTGTTGGGATAATTTTAGGGGTCTGCTATAGACCCTCTGGGTCAATCTTGGATATGGATAATAATCTCTAATATTATTAGAGAGAAATACTTTGGGATTCATTTCATAATGGGAGACTAACTTTCTGGATATAGATTGGAGAATAAATGCTGTTAGTATTGGTAGGGACAACTTATTCCTGGATAAGATAGGTCTGCTTTCTTTATCCTATCGTTACTGAGACAAGCTGGTTAAAGGAAATAACCTTGGATCAAGTGATCAAAAGCTGATTCAGTTTAAATTAAATGGAAAGATAATCAACACCAAGTCATCAACTACAATTTTTTTATTTCAAAAGGGCAGACTCTGGGAAATTAAGGGAGTTAGTTGAAGAGGTCAACTGGACAAAAGAGCTTAAAGGCTTAAATGCAGAGGCTTAGAAATTCTGCAAATCAACTATACAAAAGCGATCTGAAATTTACATCCCAAACATAGGGTGGGGGGGTGAGGGGAAATTTGTAAGGAAAGGCTCTGGATCCAGCTGGATGAACCACCACTTCAAAAACATTATTAGGAGTAAGCAAAGTGCCAGAATGAATGGAAAAAGGGGACTGATGAACAAAGAAAGCTACATCACGGAGTTTAGAAAATGTAGAAATAATGTGAGAATTGCTAAAAAAAATCAAGCTGAATTAGCTCTTGCCAGGGAAATTATAATAAATACTAAAAAGATTTTTAGTTATATAAATAAAATGAGAATAAGGAAGGATGAGAATGAACCGCTATGTAATGCAGAGGGGAAGATTAATGATAATCTAGGTATGGCCAAAAACTAAATGAATACTTTGCCTCAGTTTTCAGTAAGGATGATAATAAGGAGCATATGCATGAAGGCAGTACTGTTGATGGAAATGTGTGTCTAGAAAAGTACCACCTCCAAGGTGGAAGAAACACCTAAGGAGCTTAATGCACTCAAATCAGGGGCACCTGATGTATTCCATCACAGAATACTGAAAGAAATGGCACATGCGATTGCTAGTCCAGTAGCAAGGGTTATTAATAAATCTATCTATGTGGGGGTAGTACCATATGACTGGAGAATAGCTAACATCATACTAATATTTAAGAAAGGGGGGAAAACGTGGTCTGGGCAATTATAGTCCTTTTAATCTGACCTCAGTAGTATGCAAGGTTTTAGAGTGAACTGTTTAGGAAAGAGTAATTAAATTCACAGAAGTTAATGGTAAAGGTGATGTAGTGCAACATGGGTTTACCAATGATAGATCATGCCAAACTAACCTGATTTCCTTCTTTGCTAAAATAACTGATTTTTTAGACAACGGAACTGGACTTCAGTAAAGCATTTGACATGGTATCATATGGAAAATCATTAGTTAAATTAGGGAAGATGGGGATCAGTACAAGCATTGTAAGGTGGATGTGGAATCAGGTGACAGGAAGACAACAAATTGTACAGAAAGGTGAATTATTGGACTAAAGGGAGGTTATTAGTGGAGTTTCCCAAGGATCAGTCTGGGGACTAGTATTATTCAATATTTTTATTAATGACATTGGCACAAAAAGTAGGAGTGTCCTAATGAAATATGCTGATACTACTAAGTTGGGAGTCATCATCAACTTAGGGGAGGATCAGAATTATTATACATGAAGATCTGGACAGCCTTGAACACTGGAGTGACAGAAATGAGATGAAATTCAATAGTACAGTACAAGGTCACACACTTGCAGTCTAATAATCAGAATTTCTGCTACCTGCTGGGGGCTCATCAGTTGGAAGCGACAAAGGAGGAGAGAAACCTGGTTGAGAGTCAATCACAGGATGACTATGAGCACCAATGTGTTGCAGCTGTGAAAAAGGCAAATGTGATCCTAGGATGTACTTGGCGAGGCATTTCCAGTAGAGACAGAGAAGTATTAATCCCATTAATAAGCCACTGGTAAGACCTCGTTTGAATATTGTGTACAATTCTGGTCACCCGTGTTCAAGAATGATTAATTTAAACTGGAACAGGCACATACAAGCACAAGAACAGGC